GTGTATCGGAGGCTGGAAGCGGGAGGGGGGGGGGCAGAAAAATCAGGAGTTTTGGTCACGTCTGTGATGTGGTTGTTGAGTCTGAGATTGACCTAGGGTGAGGGTGTGGGTGGGTGAGTTTGAACAGAAGAAAATCTCTCTATAAGCTACTACGACCGATTTCGTCCTTGCTTAAGGGACTCATCAGGTAGTTTTTAAATGATATTATAAATAGAGAGAGCAATAAATACTCTGCACGAATTCAATAAAGACTCAAACCAAATCCCATGTAAAAAAAAAGCAAAAAATCTGATTTTGATCGAATTTTCATCAGATTTTTAATCAGAAAAAATCCATTAAATTCAGTTAATTTAGCAAAATCAGTTTCTAAGGATTATTGTAAAATAATCGATTTTAATCGATTTTTTTCTGATTAAAAATCCGATGAAAATCGTGCCATTTTAATCGATTTTTCATCGTCAAAAAATCAATTTTCTCAAGATATCGAATTTTTAAGTGAACTCTATTGTACAACATATATGTGAAGAGCGCCAATTTTTTGAAAATTCGATATCTTGAGAAGGGAACATTCGTTTTCATTGAAACTTGCAGGATATTCTAAGATCCATTTGGGCTATATTTGGGCGAAATTTCAGGGCAAAATTTCATTATTTGATTTTTGAGCTATATACCTAAAAATGATAGAAATTCTAGTCAAACCAAGGGGGGAAAAGCGCTACTCCAATACTCCAATACTCCAGCTTACTCCAGTAATACTCCACTCGTACTCCAACATACTCCAACGATACTCCACTTGTACTCCAAAAAAACATTTTCTTCGACTAGATATTGGTGGAGTACGGGTGGAGTATACTGGAGTATTGCTGGAGTACGGGTGGAGTATACTGGAGTATTGCTGGAGTACGGGTGGAGTATACTGGAGTATTGCTGGAGTAAGCTGGAGTACCGATGGAGTATCAGTGGAGTAAGCCTGGAGTATGAGTTTTAATATTTCATTGCACTTCATCCATACTCCTATTATACTCCAGTCTACTCCATCCGTACTCCAGCGATACTCCAACCTACTCCATCAATACTCCAGCCTTACTCCGTCCGTATTCCAGTCTACTTTGCTGATACTCCAGCCTTACTTCGACTTACTCCAGGCTACTCCAGCTTTACTCCGACTTACTCCGCTCATACTCCAGTCTACTCCACTCTTACTCCAAATTTTTTTTGGAGTATTGGAGTAGCGCTTTTTCCCCCTTGAGTCAAACCCTCATAAAAATTGAAGGAATGAATATCAATCCAAATCCTTTTAGGGTTTGTAAGAGGTCAATATACCGTATCTTCCGACAAAGTTTCATTGGAATCGGACGGGGACACCTGGGAGTGTTCCCTCGTGAGTTGCTGGAACAATTCGATTCTTTCAAAGGAATTGGTCGAACGATTTGATTCATCTGAACTGAATCGTTGGAAAAGTTCAGTTCTTTCAAAAGAATCGATCGAACGATTCAGTTCAATGGAACTGAATTGTCGAAAAAGTGAACGGTTCTGAACATGAACTGAATTGTGTAGACCCCTAGTCATACTTTCTCCTTTAAGAGTTTGTAATTGTTTCTATCTGTTTTGTTTTTATCTTTCGTATCATTTCCATAAACGATTTTGCATTACTTTTTACTTGATGAATTTCATTGGCATAGTTATAATGATAAACTGTTTACAGGTTGACTTAAGATATTTTTATAATTTTGATTTAAATCTTTAAAAATATCATAAAAAATAACAAATATCTTGACCTTTTAATAACTTCACGCCATCAAAACAACGGATTGGATCATCTTGAATTCTTCATGGAAATAAAAATGAAGACGTTTTCGATTAGCATTTTAAAGACAATCTTGTAAATTTAAAACAGACTTCGTAATGGCTCATCGTCCAAATATCGGAATTTATAGGATTTTTATTAGAATATAGAACCTATATAGGTTATTAGTTTGTCTTTACAAAATCACAAATACCCTTCTTTACACGCATTCCAGTATTTTAAAAGTCGTCTGCAATTATTATGGAGGTTTAGTATAGAATAAAAAAAACTTTTTAAGTTAGACAATAAGAAAGATTTATTTGTTAAATATGTAAGAAGGAAAAAAAACAAATATGTCCATTCGATTTCTTCACAAATATTAATTTTATATATATTCAACAAAGAACAATATATATAATCAAACTGATATGAAAAAAACGTATAGTTATATATTAGCACGCACATTCATCAATCCTATCGATGGCAAATATTTGAAAAAATTCAAATACAGAAAATAATCATCTTGGAAAAATTATGATCTTGAAAGATTATCAAATTTATTCCGCATATCGAATTATTTTGCTAAAGTATTAGTTGTTGATGTATATAGTTCTTCTGGTAATTTTTCTAAACATTCTGAAATATATGATCCATCAACAGGAACTTGGACGATTATTGATACTATAAATCATATACAATACAATCATGCAGTGATAGTTTTATTGAATGGAAAAATTTGATGTCGTTGAGCTTGTAACCATTCATTCTCTAATTGAAGATCATCATTATTTGACGGTGGTAGTAGACGACAAGGAATTGTGACTGATGCGTTCGATGAGAAACTGTTATTTCAGAACTACAGTGAGGGCCAAAAAATTTCCTCTCTTTAGTACTTGTTTGTTTTTTAACCTACTATAGATCATTAAAAAGCCCTGAACTTGCTGTATCTTTTAGTATATTTACATTGAATAACAAATACCATTTAAAGTATGAAGAACTTGTTAAAAAAACAAATAATATTTTTTTTACTACAAGATGTTCATAGTGATGTAATCTCTAGTTAGGTAAATGATAAAGTCTTGAATTTGTTTTCAAAAGATGCGTCGTGAAAAGTTCATAAATGCTGTATAATATAATTTCGTTATTACGTGTTTTAATGATTTTCTTATACTCAAAATGAGCAGTGTACAGGATAATGCATCTCCCATCATATTGACGACGTTTAGAAAACTTTGTTGATTGGCTACAGAAATGATTTCGTATAAGTTTTGTAGGACTTTTAACAGTACATATTTTAAAACAAAATTCAATATTCAAATAGGTTCTCAATTGAAAATGCATAAAAAAAACAAAAAAGCCTTGCAATGATGAAATATGACACTCGTGTTGGTTATTCATTTTAAATATTAGAAAACTATCAAAAACAAAATGAGAATGAGAAATAATATGTATTTCAAATAACATTCTCTATTTCTAATAAAGATCAGTATATATTGAAAATCTGATCTACGTAAAAAGAAAAGGTTTTCAGCGCAATCTCTTTGTGAAATTAATAATATGAAACATCATCTTAAGGATGTAGAAGAAGAGAATTTCCTTGCTCTTACCCTCACCTTTAAAGATTCACGTCATTCCATAAAATCTCAGATGATGAATGATTATTTCGTGTGTTTTTTCTTTGTCAAATAGAATTTTTCTTTTAAAATTTTCTTCTTATAAAACTAAGTAAATACTTTCTGTAATTGATTGATGTTATTTGCAAGAAATATATATTACATATATAAGTGTACAGTCGAATAATATTATTCTCATCAATGATATTACAAATATTAAATGCATAGTTAACTGACAAAGACATATTTTTCTTTAGTTCTAGATTTTCACTCATAAGATCATTACAACAGTAACAATGAAAGATAATAAAACTGAATATTATGATGTAATATATTTTTAACATTAAAATTAATCTTTACTCTTTTTTTATAATTATTTTAGTTTTCAATCGATGTTTTGAATTCAGCAGAAACACCAAATATCCAAACAAGAACATCGTATGCTGAAATTTCATTGAAATAAATAATATGAAAAAGAATTTCATCATTTTAGATGTTTAAATAGTCGAAAAAGGAAATTAATGTTCGGTATTACATTTATTGGTATAGTTATTATCATAACTATAGTAGTCATTTTGGTTTTAACAGTTTTTCTTAAAAAGAAAAGTGAAGGTACAACAATAACGACAACAACGACAACAACGACAACAGCAACAACGACAACAACGACAACAGCAACAACGACAACAGCAACAACGACAACAACAGCAACAACGACAACAATAACAACAACAACAACAACAACAACAGCAACAACGGCGACAACAATAGCAATAACAACGACAAAATATCCACCGGGTATGAGTTTTGTAGTAAAAATTTCATTTTATAGAAGAAAATGTGAAATGAAATCATAACCTTTCGTTTTCTTTTTGTTTTGAAATAGAATCTGATAAATGGAAACGATCGGGGAAAACCGTCGCGGGAGGAAACAGTGATGGATATAAATTAAATCAGCTTTCCGATCCTTCTTCAATTTATATTGACAAAAATCAAAGTATTTTTATTGTTGATTTCAGTAATTATCGTATTGTTCAATGGAAAAGAAATGAAAATCAAGGCAAAATTGTTGCAGGTGGAAATGGAAAAGGAAATAGAATTGATCAATTGAATGAACCAACAGATGTGATTGTTGATGAAGAAAGTAATTCATTGATCATTACTGATCGAGGAAATAAACGAGTGATTCGATGGTTATTGAATCAAAATCAACAAGAAATTCTCATTCAAAATTTTGCATGTTGTGGTTTAAAAATAGATAAATATGGATTTCTTTATGTTTGTGGTTCGACGGAAAATGAAGTGAGAAGATGGAAAATGGGAGATGTGAAAGGAACAGAAGGAACATTAGTTGCTGGTGGAAATGGAGGAGGAAATCAACTTAATCAATTCCAATTACCTCACTTTATCTTTGTTGATGATGAACAATCGATTTATGTTTCAGATTTTTGGAATCATCGTGTAATGAAATGGAGAAAAGATGCGAAAGAAGGTATTGTTGTTGCTGGTGGAAATGGAAGAGGAAATCAACTTAATCAATTGAGCCATTCTCACGGAATAATTGTTGATGATTCTGGTGATATTTATGTTGCAGATTTTGGAAATGATCGAATAATGCGTTGGAGTGAAGGAGCGAAAGAAGGTGTAATCGTAATTGGTGGAAATGGTTATGGAAATGGATTAAATCAATTTAAGAATCCCACTGGTTTATCATTTGATTTCGAAGGAAATTTTTATGTTGCTGATGAAAAGAATCATCGAATTCAACGCTTTGATAAAATTTGAGAATATATTTTTTACTTTAAATTAAAACTCAGTTCAAGAATAACAAATGAAATATAACTATAGAAAAAAAATTTATCATATATTTTACCCCTATTGCAATATGTAAACTAGGCATGCACCAAAACCAAACCGTTTGGGTTTGGTGAGTTTGGGTATTGAGTTTGGGTTCGGGTATTGAGTTTGGGTTTGGGTTTGAGTTTGAGTTTGAGTTTGGGTAGTAAAAACGCTCTTTTTCAAAAATCTCTCTGCTTGAGAATTTATAAGTGATTATTGTATGGTATTTTTGTTTACAAAAAAAGCTCTAATTTAAATTTTCGACAAAGATATAAATGATAAATAAAAGGAATTACTTCTTCTATTTCCATTTTTTTCATAATCATATAAAGGAATGCCATGTTCTTTCATTTATAATCTGTATTTTTTCATGTTTTAATGAATATGGAGTAAAATGAAGTTTCACAAAAAAAATTCTTTCACAAAATTAAACAAACTCTAATAGTATTTCATCTGTACGTCAACATTCAGTCATTGAATTCAAAGTTTATCTTTGAGAAACACAGACATAGCCAAATTGTCTGGTGAGAGACGCGATCGTTCTTTTCGTCCATAGTGTGCAGATATTGAAAAAGCTGATTCACTTTGGACACTAGTTGCTGGTGCTGACAAATAGCATCGTGCCAGCTCGCTCAGAACTGGTAAGTCCATGCCATATATTTTC